ATCGAGACCGAAACCAAGACCGATACCAAGACCAAGACCGAGACCATGACTGAGACCGAAACTAAGACCAAGTTTAAGTCCAAGTCTAAGTCCAAGTCCGAGTTTGAAAGTGAAAGCCCAAAGCGTTCATCTCTTAAACCTTGGGGGGTTTGGTGAACTCCATAAGTATAATAGGGGGAGGATTCCAATGGAGCTAATTTGGCCAAGAAAGGCTAGTATAATTAAGGAAGGTTATACCCATATGTTGATATTGGGTGATGATATAACCACTGAGGAGTCCAAAGTTAGAGTGAATATAGAGAAACAAATGGGGTAGTTTGGTGAAATGTTCAAGAACTGGCTTTAGCTCCCCTAGGAGATTGAATGGTCGATACTCCTAATCCAAGTGTGGGTGGCACTACTTACTTGGATACCTAGCGTAACTCAATGGAACTTTGCTCTAGCCCTATGGCTAGGGCACCCAAAGGCAAAGGTGGGGAAAGTACCTATGAGGCTCGCATAAAGCCACAGTGTTCCGAAATATAATCCCAAAGTCCCGGATTATGAAAAGAAAGAAGAATAATCCTCTGGTGTAATGACCAAGGATACTGTCATATGGTGAGGAAATTCTAGAGGACAATAGAACTTAGTGGTTAGGCCTTTCAACCTTGGCCTAGGAGTAGTGTTGGCAAGCACAACTATGGATGAAGAGGGACTTGGTAGAGATGGAAGAAGGGACATTGGGGAAGGGTGTTCCTCATATCTCTAGGCATCCTAAAAGTGCTAAGGGGTGGTCAAGGGATTTCCACTCATGGATAGATGGCCACAGAACTGTGATGTAAGTGATGTTAGACCACTAATGTGACAAAGGTGAATGGGTATAGCTTTAGCGTAACGGACTGATATATTGGTGGTCCCTTTAGGTGTTGGTCATGGGATTAGACACATAAAGCACTTGGACCAAGTGTAAAGGTTGAGTGGCATAAATGTTATTCTCAAGGCTAGTAAACCCCAAGTCTAGAATAGAACTTATGAAAGTTTTAAGTGAGACTCTTCCATATGGTCGAATGTGTGGTTAAATGATTAAAGTAGAATGAAAATTTAGTCATTTACACCAGCTTGAGGTGTGATGTAGCTCACACTTGCATTCATATCCTTGTTTTATGTCCAATTTGGGTCTAAACTTAAGTTCCATTCCATGCTAGTCAGTGGAGTACCCATAACCAATTAACGTGAAGTATGGTCTAACTCCTACTTGCATGTTTATCCTTGTTTTACGTCCAACTTGGGTTTAAGTTTAAGTTCCATTCCATGTTAGTTGGTGGAGTACCCATGGTTAACCAACCTGAGGCATAGTCTAGCTCCCACTTGCATGTCTATCTTTATTCTGTGTCTGACTTGGGTCTAAGCATAAGTTCCATTCCATGTTAGTTGGTGGAATACCCGTATCTTTGCATTAGACCCCTAGTATATTAAAATAGTGCCAAATTTTATTTGGCTTTGTTTTCCTAATTTTGGGAAGTTAAATGCTCTAAAATTATTTTTATGTTGTTCTATACTTCTATCTCTTCACACCTTGGGCTAAACACTTAAGAATCATTTCATGCTTTAGGTCATTTGCTCCTTGGCTATATGCTCAAAAGTTTAATTTCATCGCTTTCTGAATTTGGACTTTTTGGGAAATTATTCAACTTAGTATTATTCAAACCCAAGGACATTTAACCTCAAATATCCCAAACTTTTAACCAATTAAAAAAAAAGAGTGCATTTTTGTTCATGGCCCTTTCCTTCTATATTTAAACTCTATAAATCATCTCTCAAATCATTTTCTTTAGTTACTTACACCTTTGTTCAATAGCCCTAAAGCCTTGAAACTTGAGTTTCACTTTACTACCCTTAGATAGATGGCTAAAAGCTCTATAGTTATATTATGATAAATCACTATAGAATAAAGGGTGACAACAATTCAAACATTATTCGACAAAAAATTGACACAACATTCATCAAATGGACATGAAAACAACTTACTTCAATGGTGAGCTGGAAATATGGAGCAACTGGAAGGATTCAAGGTTCCAGGCAAAGAGAGCTATATCTAGAATCTACACAAGGCAATTTATAGCTTGAAACAAGCCTCAAGACAATGGTATAAAAAGCTCGACAACTTTCTCATGCATTCTAGCTTTTCAAAGAGCAAGAATGATCCAAATCTTTATTACAAACAAGTGGGAAATTGCCATCTACATTGATGACTAGTTTGTAACAACTTGACCTTTCTCGCAGAGATCAAGCAAGTCTTTTCTTCTCATTTTGAAGCTCACTACTGTCTTGGGATTCAGGTTGATTGGCAATCAGATGGCTCCCTGTTTCTCCACCAACAAAAATATATAGAGGACATATTGATGGATAAATCCTCTCCAGTTTTGACTCCCATGGTCGCAGATCTGAAACTATGCCTCCTTCTACTCTAGACAAAGAGTGAAGTGAGATGGCCCGAGCTCCTTACCGAAGCGCTGTTCCAGCTTAATGTATCTCATCTTGTGTATATGCCTGGACCTTGCTTTTTCGGTGAGCTTGGTAAGCAGACAATCCTGGACATCAACATTAGCAAGCTGTTAAACATATCTTTCGGTAGTTACAAGCTACATTTTCCTATGGTCTCCTCTTCAAGGCCACAGAGTCAAGGATTTAGTGACTCCGACTGGGCTGGCTGCCCACATTCTCAATGATCATATACACAACACAGCTCTTTCTTGGAGCAACAAGAAGCAGAGCATTGATGCCTGCTCCATCTGTGAGGTAGAGCTTGTGGCTAGTTTCACATGCAAGGAAGCCATATGGCTTTGCCGCCTCCTTATCAACATGGCCTACACTTTTTCTGGCCCTACACCAATCTACTGCGACAATCAAGGTTGCAGATCCCTGAGTTCTCAGACAAAACACATGGTACAACGCATCACTTTCTATGGGACCAGTTTGAAAATGGGGTGATCGAGCTTAACATAGGATATGCGCTCACCAAACCTTTATCCGTGCCGAAGTTCTCCCAATCTCCCCAGAGTATCCAGCCAGCCATGTGGCTGACACGTCGCATTTGTCCAATCTCGATTTTATCAATCTCGATTTCACTTCACAATAGCTCAGACGAGAAAGCCGAGGTAGAAGACAGTGCGAGGCTTCTGTAGAGGTGCTCGTTGGCGCGTAGTGCTTCCACGAGAAAACATAGCCACTACGCAAAAGCAAGACACTATATAAGTGATCAATCGAGTAGACATCAAGCTCATCGTCACCAAAGCAACAGCCACCATGCCTGTCCCGCCAAATAATACTCCGGAGAATCATCAAAGCCAGAAGAGCTCCAAGTTGTGATGGCAATCCTAGGTAATGAATAGCTTGCATGGGCTCAACTTTCTCCGGTTGCTGTTAAGAAAACTCGCGTCAGAATGCCGCTTGCGCTCTGGGAATCCAAGCCAGACGCTGGAAAGAACCACAGAGAACCTACCACTTCTTCTTCGGCGGGATTTTCGTGTTTGCAGGCCATAAACGAAGATTATGTCGACAAAAATGCGAAAAGGGAAAAATTGTCACAAGAATTGGGAAGATTTGATCAAAGCATTAGTTATTTTTACAGTTGATCGTAGATTAAAACATCTGAATATGAGAATGCGATTTATGCACCGCTATACTTTATCCCAGGAATACTTTGACATCAAGAGGCTCTTGATTACATCCTTACACAAGATCTGAGTTCCATGAGGTACTGTGGGAGTGCACCTCTGCAGCTTTGCATACTGTGATAAAAGCTCAACCATATAGCTGTAGACGTGGTCCATTGTCAATTCCTGGGTTATAAAATCCTGCCCACGCCTGCCAATTGCTTCAGCCTAGAACACAATGGCATTGTCAAAACACAGTATCTCAAAAACTGTATTCTAGAATCCCAAGTGAATACCACTTGACTGCTTCACGTATCTCTTGACACATTGTATCTGGCTTTGAGCTTGAGTCAAGTTTGGTGTTAATCCCGCACTGAAAAACTCTCTGTTCAACATGGTAGAGCCACATGCCATCCGGTATTTCAGGCTCGCTGACCATGCGGCCCCTTCCACGTAAATGTTAAATATGGACAACAAAGTCAACGTGGTACCATTTACCTGTCTTTGCATTGCTGTGACAGCCATGAGTCTTGAAATCCATTTCTGGATTCATGTACCCAGTCCTAGCTAGAAACCTTACAGCTTTATCAATCAGGCTGAACTTAGCTTACCTGGTCAAGGATTTCCGTTTCCGGAGATTGGGCACTGAAGAAGATGCCTCCACAGCTTTCGAGAGTTTCCCTTCCAAAATGCAGCCGGCTTTCTCTCGCTCCATTTCACCTCCCAAGAGCCAGGGACGATCGGCTGAGACTGTTCCTCCCACGGAGGGATATCCACCTCCGGCCTGCAAAGCTCACCCTGATAACTAGATATGCATGTTATATCATGATTCTCACCATTCCCAGAATGAGAGGTCAGGAAACGGTACGTCAAGTGTATCATTGGTTGTGCAATAGCTAAAAAATGGAGCTGGAGCTTGATCATCCTTCTGTTCCACAGAAACTTTAGAGGATATATGATCCTGACCAAATTTTCTGGAAGGAGAGAACGAGTGTCGCGTGATCACTGGGCGGTCTTCTCAGTTGAGCACAAAATCAACACTGGGGACCTTTCGAGGGAACCTTTCAAGCAACAGCAAAAGCCCCCACGGTATGAAGATGTTACCGCTTTGCGGGCACTCCCTGTATACCTCTATGTAGAGATTTCCTCCAGAAATCACAACCGGCATTGAGCCTTTCTTCCTCGCGGCGCTCAGGCTCGATTCCGTGATCCCGCCATTTTTCCATGGCCTCGATGCTGTCGAAGTATTTCCGACGCCATTCCAGCGAGCGGCTCGGTGGAGGAACAATGAAGACGAGCAGATCTCACCAACGCAGACTCCTCCGAAACTTGCATCCAGTTTATACGTTGTCCTTTAAACGTTGGTAGGGTTCTAATGGTTGAATTTATTAAATGGAATTATACGTATGTATACTCTCTTCTCAATTGTAAAAAAAACAAAGGGGGTGAAAAAATGGTCGGTGGTTCTCTCACTTCTTGTCCCCGTTGCTGCTGTTTGGGACGAAGACGAGCTTGACGAGCGAGTCCTTGATGTGCATGAGCTGCGGGAACTCCTTCTCCATCTTCTTGGTGTCGAGCTCGTTGTTGCTGCGCGGCGCCACGATCACCTTGGCCTGCTCCTCCAGCGTGAAGTTGGACCACTTGAATCCCTGGTCGATGTACTCGCGGTACATCTCCAGGACCTCGTTGTGCGACACCGTGCCCGGGTTCGTGAAGTTCCAGATGCCCGTGCAGTTGCGCCGGGCCATCTCGATGCTCAGCGGCAGCAGCTCGTCCAGCACCGTCATGCTGTTGGGGATGTCTACCACTTTCTCGTACCGCGTGATCTTGGTGATGAAGTTGCGCGGGTTGCTCAAGTCGGACGAGATGGGCATCCTCACGCGCAGCGTGCATACGTTGTCGTAGCATTTCAGGAGCTCCTCCACCTTTAAAAGTTTCAGGAAAAGGAAAAGCAGGGAAGAGATGAGCGCCTAACAAAAGGAATGGAATAAAGCCACGTACCATTGCTTTAGTCTTTGAGTAGAAGGAGCCCGTAAAGTTGGGCTTGTCATCCTCCAGGAACCCGATGCCGCTGTTGATGGGGTGGCTGTCATCGTACTCGAAAATGCAGCCCGTCGCAAAGTTCATGAGCAGCAATCCGTGCTGCTTGCACACGTCGGCCAGGGTCAGTGTGCCGACAACGTTGGCTCTGATAGTCTCCACCTTGTGGCTCTCGCACCAGTCCACATTAGGCCGACCCGTCACACCTGCTGCGTTGAAAATGTGTGTAGGCTTCACTGTCAAGATGTCCGCCTCGAGCTGCAACCGATTCTCGAGCCTGCCGGATCCATACTCGTACGGGATCCCTTCTCTCTCGCAGATCTTTCCCAGGAGTCCACCAATCCAGCCTGTCCGCCCGTATATCAGTAGCTTCATCGCCGGCTTGAGAGGCGAGACCTTTTGTGGAACAATCATCCCGATGTTCCCCACCACAGGTCCGGTAGACTCCTCGTCCTCGTGGGACAGCTTCTCCCCGGTCATGGTGAGCATCCTGGGATGCGGGACCAGCGCGCCAGAAACGTCACCCCACCAGTTCGGGTGACTCGTGTACCACTGCATCGTCTTGAGCAGCCCCTCGTCCCAGGTGGTCCTCTCGCGCCACCCGAGGTCCTTGAGCTTCTTGTCGTCCAGGAAGTAGCGCTGGTCATTGAAGGGCCGGTTGTCCACGAACTGGATGCACACCTCCGGGTCCAGCTTGAAGAGCTTGCAGATGTCCTTGGCAACGTCCAGCACCCGCCGCTCCTTCTTCGTCCCAATGTTGTATACGTGACCAACCTCTCCCTTGTGAAGCACCACCTCAAAGGCCTCGGCCACGTCCTCAGCATAGAGATAGCTGCGAACGTTGCTCCCGTCGCCGTGGATGGGAAGCGGCCGGCCTTGCATCGCCAGGAGGATGAACTTTGGAATGAGCTTCTCCGGGAACTGGTTGGGGCCATAGACGTTGTTCCCCCGTGTGGTGATGAAGGGGAGGCCGTAAGATCTGCCGTAAGCCATGACCAGCATCTCGGCTCCAGCCTTGGTCGCCGAGTAAGGATTCGTGGGCAGCAGCTGTGACGCCTCGTGGTTGCCCACAATGGCGTCGGCCTCGGTCTCGCCATACACCTCGTCCGTGCTCACGTGAATGAAGCGGCGGATGGTGCCGGCAACCTTGCACGCTTCGAGCAGGACGTGAGTGCCGTAGATGTTGTTCTTAGTGAACTCGAGGCTGTTGCCGAACGAGTTGTCGACGTGGGTCTGCGCCGCGAAGTGCATGATGGTGTCGATCCCCTCGGTGATCAGCAGGTAGTTCACGAGATCCGCGCTCGCGATGTCGCCCTTGACGAACTTGAAGTTGGCGCTCTCCTTGGACTGGTAAAGGTTCTTGAGGTTGGAGCAGTAGTCAAGCTTGTCCAGAACCACGATCTTGTAGCCCGGGTAGCTCCGGACCAGCCTGTTGGCGACGTGAGAAGCGATGAAGCCCGCGGCGCCGGTGATGAGGATGTTGCGCGGCGTGTAGTGGGAGTCGCCATTGCACCGATCCGCGCCGGCCGTCATGGCTGTGGGGAGATCTGGACGAAATATCAGATTTTCTCAGCTCCAGGCATGAAATTTCGACAAAGCAGCGACGAGGAAGAGACGAGCCGGCTGCCAGCGGTCAGGAAAGAGCGCAGAGGGAGAGAGATTCAAGCAATCAGAAGATATTTCGAGAGAGAGAGAGCACACAAATCCACCACGATAACCTGGAGATCGGAAAGAGAAAAGGGAGATTACGTACCTAAGCTGAGGACCAGCGATCGATCGATCGGGAGGCGGGAGCTGCGCCTTGATCTGGAGCTCGCGTAAGAGATCACGCCAATGCCGTCCACAATGCGATCGCCATAGCCGGAGTGAGAGAGAGGAGACCGAGAACAAATTAGGGCGGGTAAGAGCTTATGTGAAGTTCGACGCCGTTATAGCCGAGCGACGCATATTCCTTTCTTGGCATGCACAGAGCTAGAAAATGTGTCGACGGAATCTTCCGTTTCCAGATAGACGGCGAGATCTGCCGTTCAAAGATAACTGCCCGCCAAAGACCCGGGTTCGAAAACTGGGAGAAACGCTTTCTTGTCCCTTTGTCTCTCTTTTTTCTCCTCTTCTTCATCCTGGCAAGAGCGCCACGGCAGTTCCATCCACCACGATCGCGTCTGGCGTAGTACATTTGAAGCAAGATGTCGCGAAAGTCACCCTGGAAGATCGTGAAATCACGCGGATTCGATGGATCTAAGACTTTGTCGGTTGGAGCATCTTACTTGTAGTGTCGCTTGATCCTCACGCAATCCAGGACAGTGACTTGCGCCACAAGATCGTCTCCTGCGAATGCCGGCTGCTGGAACTTCAGCGTCTGGGAGACGTAGATCGCGCCTGGCTGGACAGAGTTCAAGGAGAATTCCAGAGATTCGAGAGAAATCCTTACGAAATTGGAGCCGATGATCGCTGGGAAGAGCCCCGCGGTGAGCATCCCATGGACGACGCAGCCGCCAGCGAAGCCGGCGGCCTGGGCGGACGATCGCTGCGTGTGGATGGGATTGCTATCGCCAGAGAGGGCGGAATATTGCGCTAGATCATCCTGGCTAAACGCGCGGGTAGCAGTAAACCTGGCCCCAGATTTGAGGGTTTCTCTGTCCGCGCTTATCGCGTCCTCCGGGCCGGCATTGCCAGTGGCGAGGCGGCGCACGCGGTGGAGGAGGCGATGATTCTCCTGGCAAGAATTCGTCCTCCTCCACGCTTGCTTCAGCAGCATCGAAGAAATCTCTCGGCAAAAGCCCTAGCCAACGCAAACTTAGGGTTTAAGCGGGATGTAGATTTGGTAGGGCTCGTCAATCGGCAGGGCGATCTCGTCCGGGCGCTCAAGGCGAGGAAGGCGCCAAAGGAGGAGATCGATGCCGCCGTCACGCTGCTCAAGGATCTCAAATTCAAGCTCCAGGAATTCGAGGCCGCGTCACCGAAAGAGGAAGCGAGCCAGGATGAGTCGAGCGGCACCTCCTCCCAGGCAAGTGGCAAGAGATTTCGCGAGGCTGTCACGAATGCGCTGGAGAGGAGGATGTTTTTCACGAATTCTTTCGGGATTTACGGTGGTGTTGCCGGATTATTCGACTACGGTCCTCCCGGCTGCGCTGTGAAGGCCAACGTTTTGAGCTTCTGGCGCCAGGCATGTTCTGCCAGAAGGAAAGATCTCTTTTTCTCACATTCTTGGTTTTTTACTTCTTGTTTCTCAGCATTTCGTCGTGAACGATGATCTTCTCGAAGTAGACTGCCCTTGCCTGACCCCTGAGGCTGTTCTACGGGCCTCTGGCCACGTTGAGAAGTTTACGGACTTGATGGTCAGGGACGTCAAGGAGGGGCACTGCTTTAGAGCCGATCATGTCCTCAAGGATTTCCTCAAGGATGCTCTGGAAAAGGATCCTCGCATGCCAGCGGCGAAGCGGGACGACTATACGCGAACTCTCGCGTCTCTGGACGACTTTAGTGCCGAGGAGCTTGGTGCGAAGATTAAAGAGTATGGCATCCGGGCTCCAGACACAAAGAATGACTTGTCCGATCCGTTTCCTTTCAACTTAATGTTTGGTACACCGATTGGTCCCACTGGACTTCTTCAAGGGTAAGCGTTTCGCTTTTTTTCTTGCTTCCTTTTTTAATGAACTTAGATTATTCTTCCCATTCCAGGTACTTGAGGCCGGAGACTGCTCAGGGAATTTTCGTCAACTTCAACGAGCTTTTGTATTATAATGGTGGCAAGCTTCCTTTTGGCGCAGCTCAAATTGGCCAGGCATTTCGAAATGAGGTACGCAACTTTTAGCTTTACGTGTGAGCTGAGGCATGATACTGTAGATTGCTCCTCGGCAAGGCTTGCTACGGGTTCGCGAGTTCACTCTCGCAGAGATAGAGTTTTTCGTGGACCCCGCGGACAAGTCACATCCAAAGTTCGCAAGCGTTGCAGACCTTGAGTTTTTCCTCTATCCAAGAGCAGAGCAAATGAGCTTGAAGGATCCAGTCAAGGTGCGCCTCGGGCACGCCGTGGCACAGAAAGTTATCAACAATGAGACGCTGGGCTACTACATTGGACGAACATACTTGTTCTTGACTGCTCTGGGCATCAACAAGAACCGGCTTCGGTTTAGACAGCACCTTGCCAACGAGATGGCGCACTATGCCGCGGATTGCTGGGACGCTGAGATTGAGTGCTCTTACGGATGGATAGAATGTGTTGGTCTTGCGGATAGATCTGCTTACGACTTGAAAGCGCACTCGGTAAGCTGTTCTCCCTTTTATTCCTCTTAGTTGTCGTCTTTATTTCTTTCTATGTCTGTACAGACAGCTAGCAAAAGCAACCTCGTGGCTTCACGGGATTTACCCGAGCCTGTTGTCGTAGAGGTACGACTGATAGAGGAAACTGATTGTATCAACTTCACATGTTTGTTTCCAGGAATTTGCTGCTGTTCCAAACAGGAAGGAGATTGGTGTTGCTTTCAAGGCAAACCAGAAACTGGTGCTGGAAGCATTACAGGTATACTATTGTTTAAGTTTTCCTTACTTGAGCTGGCCATTCGTCTAGGAACTTAACAATGAAGAGGCTCTGGAGATGCAAAAGAAATTGGAATCCGATGGCGAGGCACCACTTCACATTTGCAATGCCGACAAGACGTTCACCATCAAGAAAGGGATGGTTACTTTTAACAAACAGGTGACGAAGAAGAGCAAAGAGAAGTTCACGCCGTCTGTGATCGAGCCTTCCTTCGGCATTGGCCGCATTATCTACTGCCTCTTCGAGCACTGTTTCGACACGCGTGGCGGAGTCGACGGCCAGCTCAACGTCTTCCGTTTCCCTGCGCTGGTCGCCCCCGTCAAGTGCACGGTCTTTCCGCTGGTGCAAAACCCGAAGCTCGACGAGATCGCTCGGGCCATCTCTGCAAAGCTCAGAGAAGCGGGGATCGCAAACAAGATCGACACCACCGGCAGGTCCATTGGCAGAAGATATGCTAGGACGGACGAGATCGGCGTCCCGTTTGCGATCACAGTGGACTCCGAGGATGGGGTGACGGTGAGGGACAGGGACTCCAAGGATCAGATACGAGTTCCACTCGAGGAAGTCGTTGATCTCATCGCGGACATGTCGGCTGGAAAGAGGAGCTGGAAAGAAGTCCAGGGAGTTTATCCGGCTCACGTGGCCGCCAAGGCCTCGGATGAATCCGACGAGTAAAAAGAATTAAAGAGAGCGTGATTGCAATGCCACAGAAGGTCGATCTTCCGCTACTTAGAAATATCCCGCAATTGTTTATAGGAGATCCTGAGGATGGAAGCGTTCCTACAAAAGGTTCCCCGGGCTGTATGTGGACTCTTGAGGAACTCGTTCCAAGGATGAGTTTTCATGCAAGCCATGCTCTTCCTCAAGCATCTTCAAAGTGATGTTTTCTTTTTCTACTCTTTGGGACTTGGATCAACACCCGACCTCCAAGCTGCGACTTTGAGTTGGGGCGGAGCGAGCTCGACACCTGGACGAGGAGTTCCCGCAGCTCATGTACATCAAGGCCAAGCTCGTCTTCGTCCGCAGCGTGAGAGATAACATTTCACCCCTTTTTTCTACAATTGAGAATGTCTTCCATTTTCATTAAGTCAGCCTACATGGTTCAGAGTCTTTGACTCTTTCCAGATGTTTGCTAGAATAGTCTGCAACGTGTTGGATTGCTCTTTTACAGAAAACCTGACCTCCCTTGGGTATTTTTGGCGTGTATTTCTGCAGTTTCGAATACTCCAGTAGAAGGTGAAACATGTAGTTGTATACTTGATCTATGTTTACTTGCTCTCGTATGAAATCCTGTCCAGTTCTCCCAATATTCTGGGCCTGGCAAAATCCCGAATGAAGGCAATGCCAAAAGCTTCTCATGTTGAAATACCTGCTGGGCATGGGAGTTTCCCCACTCTACCGCATTTTTTAGAGATTGGCACATGTCCTCCTTTGAAGAGATTGGCAGAAAGTGGATGTTTGGGAGCAAACCTTTGGTGAAGAACTCATCGTACTCTGAGTCCAAGTAGAGCAAAGTGGAGCCACAAGCCATTTTATACTTGAGACTCGCCGACCATGCTGCTCCCTCGGCGTAGATATTGTACCTGGACGTGGAAAGAGCATTACAAGAGCTTTCAAATGTAGCGAACTATAATTCTACCTTTGATTGCACTGTTTGCATAAGTTGGAATTTTCGTATCCAATGTTGGCTTCATCAATCCAATTCTACAAGGCAGTATTGGACACCGTAAGTAAGAAAGTAAGAAAATGCTTACTTGATCCAGGACAAGCGTGCCAAATTTGGTGGAGTTGCACCGAGCTAAAAGGGTTCTTAACTTCCCCATTCTTAAATTACCTTTCCAAAATGCAAAAGGTTGCCTATTACTCCATTCAACGCCTTGGGATCCCTGAAATATTTCCTGCGATTCTTCCTCCCACGGACGAATGTTTACCTCCGGCCTAAACAGACACACTTAAAAGGAGAAAAGAAATTTTAAAAAATGCATGGTTACCATCCCCAGAAAGAATAATCGGGAAAAGGGATGTCCAAGCTCAAGCGATGGCTGCAATAGCTGAGAACAGGGGCAGGAACTTCGGATCCATCCCTGGGCACGATGGGCCGATCCTTACAATTCAGGACAAACTCCACGTCCGGGACGCGATCGCCAAATCTTTCCAACATCAAGAGCAAGCCCCATAGCGAGAAGGCGCGGCGGCTCTGCGGGCAATCGCCGTACGCACTAACGTACATGTCGCTGCGGAGGATGGCGACGCGCATTGACCCCAGGCGATCCAGGCTCCGCCTCGTGATCCCTGTCGATCGCCATGGGGCCAGGTGCTCGTGAATCCGCGCGAAATATCGTGGGCACAATGCGACGCCGGCGCTGCTGTTGCGCGATCCTGGAGGCCGCCCGCGATCGCTGGGACCATCGCCGGCGGAGCAATGGAGCGCCGCGGATTTGTGGAGCAAGCGCGCGGACCTCGAGTAGAAGAGGAGATCTTGGAGCTCGCTGACGCTGGAGAGGAGGAAAATCGCGAAGAGGAGGAGGAGTGAGGATGAGCGCACAATCGTCATTGTAGATTGAGTGATGAGAGGGCCTGAGAAAGAAGAAAACTCGAACGGAGCCATACGTAGGACAGACAGCATGAACTGTGAGTGTACGGTGGACTTCTGGAAGACCTTAGTTACGAGTTTACTACGTTTCGCTTCCATACTTGATTTTGCATATATTTTTCAGGCGCTCTCGGGAAAATAATAACCTCGTTACCATCAACCAGATGATCCTTGTGGTGAGGACGAAAGGCATCCAGCACCATGCCTTGCTGAGAATATGGTTCGATTGTCCTCCACAGCTGTGAGCCTTGGAATGGCTGATCCACCCACAATGCTGCTGCAGCCAGCTCGTTTTTTTCCTGATAAACCTGGAAAGAAAAAAGAAAAAAAAGACAATGTTCAGAGAGATTTGGGAGCAAATTGAAATAAAGAGCCACCTCATCCATGGCTACGTCCGTGTGAAATAGCGCCAATCCAGTTGCACGGTTTATAAGGGAGTAAGCACCAGGGAATCTGTCATCGTAAGTGGCATTCCATTGCTGATTCCAAGAGCCGTCATCCGGACGCAGGCGAACGGTATGTCCATTCGGAAAAGCGGTCACTCGGAGAGTCGTGGACGCAACACATTCAAGAGAAAAC